ACAAGATTTTCTATGATTCTGGTGTAAAGGTTTAACTCTGCCTTTGGATAGTCTGGCTTCTAGGACAAGGGTGGATGGGAGTCATCAGATCGCCTGGTTTGAATGCTGCAGCTCCCTTGGTCTTCCGCGACGTATCACTACACACGGCTGGCGACTTGGAACCTCCTTGAAAGCCGCTAAAGGTGCTTCCCTAAAAATGTCTACAGATTTAGTTCTTCTAATTTCTCGCTTAGTTGTTTCTCTTGAATCTGGCCACTCACCTAGCGACGTAGTGGAGATGTAAGTTAAGCAATGTGATGGTTCGGTCTTATGTCTGGCGCTTTTGGAACATGTTGACCATGGTGTCTCGAAATACTCCTTGTCTCGTGTTCCTTCTGATTGAGTGGTTGTTTTTCTTGTTCTTTCTCATGAAAATCGACTTTATTTATTTTGCATTCGTTCTGTAACTCAAGTCTTTCACGTCAGAAATATTACGGTAAGGCAGCCAAGGTCACTCCTGATAGCATGTCCACAGCACGTGAGAAGAAGCCTCGCCGTCCTTGCGTCTACGAACTTCCTGGAGGCCATCTCCGCCAATGTTCTGCTGCCATTCACGGGTGTTCGGGACTTGACAGGGGCTACTGCATCTAGAATGTTGTCAGTGATCGTTCCTCTGACGCGGACAGCTTATTCCTTGTTCACAGTCTCTCCTCAGTCCGGAAGCTCCCAAGAACCTGTTCACTTGGGAAGACCAGTCCCTGAAAACGCACACCAAGCTTAGGCTCAGCAGAGGAGCCCAGAACTAAGCGAAAGGCCCTGGACGAGATGGGTTGACGCAGGGGCTGCCACAAGGGGCTCAAGCGTAAGAAGCATCGTGAGGGTGGAGCAGGAGCAGGCAGCGTTTCATTCGCTGTACGCCGAGACGCTCTGGGTCGGAACAGACTCGGCGGCACCTCACAAGCACAACCACAACCATGGTCAGGCCGTGTTGTTGTTGTTCATCGACCGCTAAGTTTGGGCTTCGCTTTGTTGATGTGCGGAGATGCTTGACCAGTATTTTCCAACAGATGGACCACTGTCTTGGACTTAGGAAAAGGACTGGTGTTTTGAAGATGGAGCCACTGGACTAAATCAAGACTTCAGAACTCTGGAAAGTGATTCAATTCTCAGTATTATTGCATCGATATCACAGTGACCCGACCCTGGCAGGTTGCTGAGACTGTAACTATGTACAGGAGTAGAGAGCCCAGTCTTTCTTCCATGGAGCAGCTGGTGGTTTCAAACTGCCGACCATGCAGATGGCAGCCCAACTTGTAACCACTACACCACCAGGGCTCCCCTGGAGAGTGTCAGAGGCCACAAATCACAACGGATTCCAATTTTCAGGAGAGAGATTAGCCACCAAAGAGTCTAAAACGTCTGCTATGGGTTTGTTCGTGGGAATACTATGGGTGGCTTAAGGTTCTAGTCTCAGGACGTCAGAAATCACTTTTCACCTAAATTGTCTAACAGGCGGATTTAGAGGTTACAACTCTCAGTTCAGAGCTATTTGTTGGTAAATTTAGCAAGACTATAAAGACCATGATTAAAAAGCAGCTGAGGTTCAGGTTAGGGTTTTACCAAGTAGAAGCGGCGGCAAGTCTCCAACAGGACAGCTGCTTGTCTTGGTGGCTGGAGATGCCGGTGTCCACGTCCATACACAGCACGAGCTTCTACCTGCAACTGGTGCTGCTTCCAACTCACACCCACTGCCATCCAGAGACGCCGACTCAGAGCGACCGAGTAGGACAGGGCAGAACCGCCCCTGGGGGGTGTCTAAGCCTGTCTTTCTTCCACTGGTGCTGCTTAGGCGTGGGAAGACACACACTGCTTGGCACTTGGTATTCCTGGCATGGAGACCTTCAGGTCTTGGTTTTGTGGGCTACCTTAGCCAATTGGCCTGCTATTGTTAATGACGTATATCCTCCCTCTGGCTTTCCTGCAAAGGGGGTAACTCACATAGACCATGGCCCCTAGGTGTTCTTTCAAACCTTGCATCTTGGGGAAAGAAACTTCTGGCCCCTACAAGCCGCTTTGACTGGAACAAAGGCCTAGAGCGATGAGTGAGGCCGGTGTGCTCGAGCCTCACGCTCCTTTGGAGAACCCGGTCTGTTCCGAAAAGCAGACTCAACAGAAGACCACGTGCAGGTTTAGGGCAGATCTGTAACCACTTGACTGGTCCCCAAGACAATGTTATGAGAGGCTGTCAAAGGGTTGTGATCCAGCTGTCACCCACTCATCGTGCACCCGAAATCTTGAAGCTCCATCTGCATTAGCTAGTGAGTGATCCCGCTAGAACGCCCCGCTGGGTAACTGATGAGAACAGTTAGGGTGTCTGATGGACAGGGAAGAAAGGGCCTGTTGGCATCTGTAGAACGAAGCAAACTACACTAAAGATCCAAACTTTCATCATGCTGACATATGGATGGAGCCAATAGATCAATGAAGGCTAGATCCATCCCTTTAATTAGAGGGTAGGTTTTTGAGAATGTTGGTCATTAGGGGTTCTTATCGTTGAACTACAACGGTGGTTTCTCTCATCATTTTTTCAGGTTTAAACCCGTATGAGAGCTATACAACTAGTAAATGTTATATTTGCAATTCGTTTCACGGGGTTTTCTTCTAAACCTTCTCTTATGATGAGGGATTGCTCATTCTATTTGTAATTAGTTTCACGGGGTTTTCTTCTAAACCTTCTCTTATGATGAGGATTGCTAGTGCTGGAACTGTGTGAGTAGCTGGCAGGTATTTTAGGCAGTTCTCGCTGTCCTATCGGGTCTCTGTGAGTCTGCATTGGCTCAATGGCAGTGAGGGAGTGAGTGTGGTGTTTGCAGGAAGCCACCATCTGCGATGAGCAGTCTAACTCTATTTTGGGTCTTCACCCAGGTTCAGCCTTCCATGGGTTTTGACCATCGTCTGGCCATGTCAAACGCTTTGTCCCCAGGTAGGATGTGTTGGTTGTGACTCCCTGGTCAGCCCAGAGTGGGCAGCCTCGCACTCAGGACTTGCAACAGTGTCTGTCTCCCAGTCGTGGCCCCTTGCTCGAGTCTGTAGTCCCACATGGGTCTGGGATGAACTGGTCTGCGGCCAATCACCATTTGGGAACAGTGGCCCCTGTTTACCCATTTTGTTTAAGTGGCCGCCTAGCTGTGAACCCTCTAACACCGCTGTGGCCTCCTGCTGACAGTCTCCCTCATTCGAATGGTCTGTTCTTGTCTTTGTCTTGCCCTTGTCCTGGTGAAGACACTCTATGGAGAAAGTGGTCACTGTAAATTGTATTTGAACCTGAGGTCTTCCCCACTTCCCGCACCCTAACTCAAAGGACAGGTAGGACTGGGCTGTGAAACGGGAGAGGGGGAGGGGGTGAGTAGAGGTTGGGAGACAGTGAACGATAGGGTCTGTGGGCCAGTCCTGTTGAGGCAGGCCTGGGGCATCTTGGCCACCTGCTGTGACAGTGCTGCCTTCCCATGAGAACATGGGGCATCAACACACTGAGCCGGAGGCGGAAGGACAGCAAAGTTTGCGCCAACCTGAGCCCAGGGAGGGGCTCAATGTGGGAGGTATGTTTTCAACATGCAGAGTCCCGTTATGAAAGGGTTGCACACACACTGCTTTGTAAGCCCTCTCTTAGAAATTAGAGGAAGAAGTCCACCTCTCAGTGACCCAGGTGACCAAGGGAAAATCATCGCTGGCTGTCCCTGCTGTCGGTCCTCTTGGGCACCAAAGGGGACAGTGACCTGAAAGAGGAGCCGTGCGGCCTCTTCAATGTTGACAGATACTGTCCTGTGTTGAAGACTCAGGACAAACAACAGCTATCTACTCCTCTTCTGTGTGGGGAGAAGAGAAAGGGCAAGCGGCCGGGAGGAGAGGGAGGCAGGGAAGAGCCAGCGTCCCTGAGTGAGGGCTGCGGAGCCAGTGTGGATCACAGAGGACAAGGACCTCCTGTCATTGCAAAAATAAGGGGACTTTGTTGAGAAGCCAGCCCTCGGCCCCCTGCTGACTCTCAGGGTTCTGAGCGCTCCACTCACTGCCTGGTCATTCATACACAGCCTGCAGAGAATGGATTGTCCTGGAGCTTGGGCCCAAAGTGTGTCACAGGCAGGGGCTGAGCCCTGCAGGGCCATCAGAAGGCCCGTTCTCTCACTGAGAATGGCAGGAAGGCACTGAAGGGTTTTAAGAGGGTGAGCTCACTAGCCTTGGGTTTCAAAGCCTCCCTGGAGAGGCCTGGAGAGTTCTCAGAGAAGTCAAGGGTGGATCGCATGACCCCCAAGGTGCTTCACACCCTCACACCCGTAGCAGAGCCTCCTTGTCCTGCAGGCCTGGTGTCTCCAACTAGAGGCAGCTCTGGGAATTTCCCGGTCCTCTCCCAGCTTCCCTTCAATCGCTCAGCACACAAAATGCTCAAAGGAAGGAGCCTGAGCCTGGAAGGGACTCTTTGTCTTCCTTCCCACAAGGTCACTCTGGCCCCTACCTGGGCTCTGCGGCAGGCAATGGGCAATGGCCAGGAAACAGGGCGGCTGGGGGAGGCAGGGTCAGGTGGGGTTGACGCTGGGGGAGAACAGACAGCCTTGTTTGGAGCACAGGGCATCTAAGAGCTCCTTTGTGTCCCTCTTCCACTTGGCCCAGGGCCTGGCCAGAGAGAGGGCTGGAGATGGAGGGCTGGAGGTAGGGCCTGCCAGTGATGCCCGGAAAGTGCTGGAGAGGAACGCAAGGAGGAGGGATGGGAGGGGAGCAGGCCTTTGGAAATGATGCTGAGCCACTTTCCAGGGGGAACCCCCAGATCCTGGCCTACTGTTTCGAAACTCCAGTTTCCCAACTCTCCTGAAGCGCCTCTACACGTCCACTCGCCAGCCTCGCAGTTCCTTAATTGGCACACAGCTCAGATCCGGTAAACAAGACGGCTGGGGCCCGGGGGAGTGGAAGGGGCGGGTATAAAAACGAAGAGGGAGCCATGAGGACAGGCCTGTCAGGAGCCGGGGAAGGGCAGGAAGAGGCTATACCCCCGCTCTGCTGCAGCCGGAATGTGTCCAAGGGTGACTCCCACAGGCCTCTGGGCTGGCCCAGGTGGAATTGGGGTAGTGATGTTCAAGCTGAAGGGTCTGGGCAGCCCTTAGAGGTGCTGCAGGTGGGGCAGGGCCTCCACCTGCGGGAGGGGGCTGGGGCAGAGCGGAGGCGGGTAAGAAGGGTGGGCGGGGAGCGGGAGGATGCGCTGAGCCGGGGTGGGGGAGGAGGCAGGAGGCTGCTCCCCTGGGAGCAGGGAGATGAAGGGGCAGCATGCACCTGCAGGTGGTCTGACCCTGGATTTTCCCTACAGGCTTTGTGCTCCTGCTGCTGCTACCGTGCTGTAAGTAGCCCCACCCGATGGCGATGGGAGCTGGGTGCTGGGGGCAGGCTGGGAACTTGGCACTTTTCCAGTTCTTTCTGAGACCCGAATGGCTGGTGGAGCATAATCTTGTTAAACCAACGTGACGTGTCGGTGCATTTCTCGAATGATCCTCTTCTCTTCCGGATATTTGAAATGCTTCCAAAGCAGGTCGTAAGGCTCAGTTTCAGGAATGGCCCTGGTGGGATGCACCCACCCGCGCCCCCCAGCTGCATGGAGGGCCGCTGGCCACTGCTCTTCCTGTGTAATCAAGAAGGCAAGAAGAGCTTAACCTGCAGCAGTAAGAATTCAAGTCAGGGAAGAGGAAGGACTTCCTTGTCCCCTGTGATACCGTGCCCTAGCTTATCTGCTGCTCTGCAGGGTGTCAGGGGTGAGGGCCATTGAAGGGACATGCCACAGCTTCTTGGGTCAATGACTGCACTGCAAATTCCACAGGGCTGTCCCCTGAACGACAAGCTGTTTTCCCCACCCCGCTGCCTTGCCTGGAAGGCGGCTCTTTGAGTCTCTATGGAATCACGTCTATTTAGACTCTCTTCATCTGTCCCACCCTCACCCTACACAGCACCCTGCTCTTCATCCTTCCCCAGCACCTGGGGAGTCTCCCTGATTGTCATCAGACAGGGAGCTCCCCAGAGGCAGGACCCCTTTCATTTAGAATCCTGTCTCCACTCCCACCTCTGCCCACTACCCACACCTCCCTGGAGTCCAGCCAGCGGGGCCCTGGCAGAATCCGAGCCCCAGCCCCACACAGGCTTCTCCCTCAGGCTCCGCGTACAAACTGGTGTGCTACTACACCAGCTGGTCCCAGTACCGGGATGGTGACGCGAGCTGCTTCCCAGACGCCATCGACCCCTTTCTCTGCACCCACGTCATCTACAGCTTCGCCAACATAAGCGACAATGAGATCGACACCTGGGAGTGGAACGACGTGACGCTCTATGCCATGCTGAACTCACTCAAGAAAAGGTTGGGCCACCGGCCGGCCAGGCCCGGAGCGGGACAGAGGGTTCCCTGCGCTGGCCTCGGGCAGGGTGGTTCTGCCATAGCCTCCACCTCTGGGTGCAGAATTAGAGGGGCTCGGGCTTCCACAAGGAGCCCTGGTGGCATGTGGGCTGTGCATTGAGCCGCGCACCATGAGGTCCGCGTTTCGAAGCCATCAGTCGCTCCTGGGGGAGAAGATGAGGCTCTCTGCTCCCATGAAGCTTTGTAGTCTCAGAAACCCAGAGCAATAGTTCTGCTCCATCCTAGTGGATTTGAGTCTGTCCTTTGAGTTGGAATGGACTGCAGGATCGTGAATTTGGTGTTGAGGTTTGGGGGGCAGGGGGGCTTCCATGGGAGGAGAACATGAAGCAGGTGGTGGCTAGGGTTTGGTGGTGATAGAAACTAGCTCTGGAAGAAGGCAGGGGCTGGGCGCCTCTGGCTTGGGGCGGGGGGTGAGCTTCTTCTTCCCCAAGAGAACCTTTCCAAGGCGCATGCCAATGGCTCCTGCTTCCATTCTGAAGCCCTCTCTAGTTTCTCCCCTAACAACTCAGCAACCACTCACTGCCAACCAGTCGATGCCGACTCGCAGTGACACTATAGGACAGGGTGGAGCTGTCTCTGTGGACCTCGAGGTTGTTACTCTTCATGGGAGTAGAAAGCCGCATCTTTCTCCAACGGAGCGGCTAGTGGTTTCAAACCGCTGGTCTTATGCCTCGCAGCCCAACACATAAGCACTACTCCCCCAGGGCTCCTTTCCCCACATAAGGCGAGCCGGCAGAAAGGGGCAGCCTCGGGAGAATGGGCAGAGTCCACAGCTGCCTAGAACCACAGCATCTCAGAGTCAGGACGACCTTGGAGACTTATATCCAGCCTCCTTCCCAAAGCTAGAAACCTGCTCTGAGGTCAGAAATGGGGCCACCAGTGTCACGTCAGCTACACTCCACTGCCCCCCCTCTTCTCCTCCCTGTGCCTCACAGGAACTCCAACCTGAAGACCCTCCTGTCTGTTGGAGGATGGACCTTCGGCTCAGAGAGGTTAGTGAGGCCCACTCCCCAGGACAGGGCCACAGAGGGTGCCTGCCGGGGCCAGTGTCTACTTCCCTCCTGGGACGGCAGCCCAGGAGGTCAGACGGGTTGTGCACCGAAGTTTACGTGGCTATCAGGGGCCTTCGGCTAAAGAAGTTAAGCACAGAGAGGGCTAGGGACTTGCCGAGAGCCACACAGCAAGAAGACAGTGGGCCTGCTGGCCCCTGACAATGCTCTTTACATCCTTCCTCCCACCTGAGAGTAACGGCCTGAGAGCAACAGGGGCTGGCAGGGGCCAATGGGAATGCGGGGGTGGGGGTGGGGGGACACTGAGAGCAGGGCGTGTGTATGGAGTGCTTACTGACCACCTGGCACCTGTTCCAGCCGTGGTCCCAGCAGCACTGGGCGCTATCACAGTCATCCCATTTACATATGGGATGGAGGCCTGCATCATGACCTGACCAGCGGATCCAGCTCGTGATGGGCCAGGCTCAGACCCCAGAAAGCTCATCTCCAAAAGTCCTCGCTCCTCCCACGATGTCCTCCCCTGCCCGGGGGTCTTGCCCTGCCCTCCTGGAGCTGGCCGGTGGACTCGGGCTCTCGCCCCTCTGGTCTCAGAAACCCTGCCAGAGGGCCAGGGACCCCAGCAGCCTGGGGCTGAGCCTGCTACTGCTGTGCTTGCGGTCCTAGATTTTCCAGGATCGCCTCCAACACCCAGAACCGCAGGACCTTCATCAAGTCGGTGCCGGTGTTCCTGCGGACACACGGCTTCGACGGGCTGGACCTGGCCTGGCTCTACCCCACGCGGAGAGACCGGAACCGCTTCACCACCCTGGTCAAGGTGCGGCTGAGTAGTGGGCAGGGGAAGGTGGGCGGGCCTCGGGTAGCTCCAGCTGATGGACCCCTGGGGCAAGCAGAGAGGGCCTGAGGGCTCCCTGCTGTGATGTCCTGGGGCCCCGGGCCAGGAACCAACCAGCTGTCCAGGGGAATTTCTTTCACACCAAGGGAGACATCTGTGAGCCAGGGGGGAGGTGGGCAGGAGTCCTAAGAGGCAGAAGGTGGTGTATCATTTGGCCCCTGCTCAGGGACAAATAGATGGCCCCAATTCCCAGCATGCACTGCCTCCAGGGCCATGCAGCCCTGGGCGAGTGAGGCCCAGCCCAGGGGCAGAGCAGTCATCTAAGCGAATTGCCTTACGTTTGCTGAGTTCATGTCCCTGGGAGAACAAAGCAGAGACCAAAAGGCAAACTTCTTCCATACCATCTGTGGGCCCATTGGGCTTGCCCACCGTTCTGACAGCCACTCTGTGGGGGAGGAACAGTGTGCTCACGAGGTGTGCATGGGAGTGGGGAGGAGGAACAGTGTGCTCACGAGGTGCGCATGGGAGTGGGGAGGAGGAACAGTGTGCTCACGAGGTGCACATGGGAGTAGGGAAGGAGACTGGCCCTAACAGTTGGAGCCAAGAACGGGTGGGGCCATGTGATCATGCCAATGGGGTTGTCCTTCCACTGGGGATCCCAGCAGATGGGGAACATCAATAAGAGGCCCAAGACCTCAGCCTCCCTTTCACACAGTCTGGGTCGGGGGGAGACGTGGCCTCTCTCCCTCATCCCCATCTCCCCTCCAGGAAATGAAGGCCGAGTTTGCACAGGAAGCGATGCTTTCCGGAGACGAACAGCTCCTGCTCAGTGCAGCCATGTCCGCGGGGAGAATCAACCTTGACCATGGCTACGACATACCCCAGCTGTCCCAGTGAGTCAGGCCCCCAGACGACGTCTAGCCCCAGCGCTTCCAGAAGCTCATTGTCACTTACCTACTCCGTGCCTCCGAGTCCCCACCCACCAAACATGGGGTGATCATCTCTGCCCTGTTTTTCTCACTTGGGGGCTGCTGTTGTCCCGTGAGAAAGTACTTATCGATATGTTTTGGGCAAGGAAACGGGAAACACCCATCCTGAACCAGTGGCCTTTTTTACAGGGCTGGCCGGCAGGCAGAGTGGGGGACTCGGGAGAGGTATGCTCTTGTGCAGGCAACCCCCCGCTTTCCAGTTTGCCACCCCTGGTCCTTCTGCCCCCGTGCACATGGGTGTAAGTGGGCAACAGCCAAGCAACTGGTCTCGCTGCAGAGCAAAGCCAGCTAGGGATCTTGGGAAACCCAGCAATAAGGATCCCTGGCACTTCAGTTTGACGTCAATCTTCCATAAAGTCTTAGGGTGATACAAGCTTGGTGCATCACTCGATCATTTCAAGAGTAACAAGAGGGGGCTCTTGGCCCCTGGCCCTGCCATCCAAGCCCTCTAGAGCCTATAGGCCGCACGGCTTTCCCAGTATGGACATGGAAACTTCTGCCCAGCTCCCCAGCATCCGGGCTCATGGGAACCTTTGTCTGTCACACTTTGAAGCTCCCTTCCACCTGCCTTTACCAAGAAGGGCGCGGTGGGCGTTGGGGGAGTGGGGACAGCAGGAAGAAGTGCCGTGCTCACAGGTGTGCAGGAGGCATTTGGGGCCCCTGAGTCCACAGCCTGGTGGGGCACAGCAGCTAATAACTGAGAGCCCCTGGGATGGGAGCTTTGTGGCCTTCTCTCGGCTGCCGCAAACCTCACTGGGGTCGTGGGTGAGAAGCCAAGGGCATTTCTCATTTCCTGCCTCGCCCACCATCCCTTTCTTCTACCAAACCTGAAACCGAAACCTGCTGCCATCGAGTCAATTCTGAGTCCTGGCCCCAGGTGGAGCTTTCCTATTCACATGAATAGACAGCCTCCTTCTTTCCTCGTGGAGCGGACAGTGGATTTGAACCACCGATCTTGTGGTTAGCAGTCCAGGGCTCACTACAGGGCTCCCCTTTCTTCCACAGACACCTGGATTTCATCAACCTCATAACCTACGACTTCCATGGAGCCTGGATGGGGACTACGGGGCATCACAGCCGCCTGTACAGAAGCAACGTGGACGCGAATCTGGACCGATTCAACAACATCGTGAGTACTGAGAGAGCGTGGGAGCCAGGAGGGCCCCACCTCCACCATGGTCACCCCAAACTCAGAACCATCCAGTCGGGGCCAACCCGCAGGGACGCAGAAGGTCAGGGTAGCACTGCCTCTGTGGGTCTGCAGCACCTTGTGGCTAGCAGCCAACGCGTAACCACTCCTCCCATGTTCACGCCCCGCCCATCCCCTCCTTGACAGGCCTGGAAAAGGGGGGGCTGTGAAGCCCACTGCAAAGAAGAGGAAACGGGCCCACCCATGGCCTAGGCCTTCTCTGTGGCTCCTGGAATGAGGGGCCAGGCCATCTGCTGAGGAGTCTGCGGGGTGGAGGGGGGTGGGGGGGATTGCATGCATGGGGCTGGGCTGAAGAGGTTGGGGCAAAGGAGGCCGGCCTCTAGTCTCCATGTGCCATTGGTTTACTGTGCAGCTAGAGCAAATCCCCTGTTTCTGTACCTGTCTGGACATTGTCCTCTCTCCCCACACCTATGGGGCTGCTGTGCTGCAGGGTTGCTGTGAGCCAGCATCAGTTGGCTGACAGTGAGCTTGGTCTCTTCCCCCAGCAGCTGTCTAACTGGCCTCTCTGGTGCTGTGCCCACCCAGGACTACGCCGTGGGGAACATGCTGCGGCTGAGGGCCCCTGCCAACAAGCTGCTGATGGGCATCCCCACCTTCGGGAAGACCTTCACCCTGGCCTCCTCCGAGTCGGGGGTGGGCGCGCCCATCTCGGGGCCGGGGATTGCAGGCCCCTACACCAAGGAGAAGGGCATCCTCGCCTACTATGAGGTAATGGGGTTAGGGAGGAAGGGAAGGTTTTCCAACACCCTCCTCCCCAGGGAAGGTGATCTTCGGCCCTCACCCTGCTCCTTTTGGGGTACAAAATGTCCCCGCAAACCTCGCACCCCTGGAGAAGAGGAAGGGGTATGACCTTTGCAGTGAGCAACTTCCTGCAGACATTCGGCTCTCCACTGCCTCTCTCTCTCATGAGAAGCTTCAGGGATAGTCCTCTGTCCACTGCCTGGGCCCTCCTCCGACCCAGTGAAGAGTAGAGGCAGAGGGCAGGCCCTCAACTGTTTTTAGTGCCTTCTTGACCGCCCTCGGGGCAAGTCCTCAGCCCGGTGCTGATTTCCTGTGCCCTGGACTGCGGTGGAGGAAGCCACACGGAACCCTCTGGAGGCTCTCAGCTGTGTGAGTGAGCTTCCAGAACTTCACCGGGCCCTCCTGTTCTCTCACAATGCCACTGTTCCCAGGAACATCTGACGAGGAGTTGTTCTTTTTCCTTTTTTCCTGATATCCTGTTTCTTTTGAGCCCTGGCACCCCTCAAGTCCCTTGCCCCACAAAGGACCCCAGCAGTGATAACCAGCCCAGTTGAAATAGCAGCCATTAAGAGCTTTCTGGTATTTGCATCTGCTTTGCATGTATTTGCATGAAGCCTCTACTCTTTGGGGCCAGACCTGGCTGGCCTGCAGCACTGGGAGGAGATCCGGGATGGGGAGAGACGTGAAGATGTGGTATCTCTCTGGTACCCGCAGTCCCGGCAGGGAGCGTTTCACACGACCCCCACCCCACTCTCCGCATAGATCTGTGGCTTCCTGAAAGGAGCCACCGTCCACAGAGTCTTCGGCCAGAAGGACCCCTACACCACCAAGGGCAACCAATGGGTGGGGTACGATGACCAGGAAAGCATCAAGGCCAAGGTAGGCTTCTCCCAGGCCACCCCTTGGAGGGAATGAGGGTGCAGAGGCTCTGCCCCAAGCAGCCAGCTTTGGGTGTTCCTTGTCCTGAGGGAAGAGCATCGGGGTGCAGTTGTTAAGTGTTCGGCTGTTCACCACAAGGTCAGAGGTTCAAACCCACCAGCTACTCAGGCCATCTGCCTCAATAAAGCTTTACAGCCTTGGGAACCCTGTGGGGCAGTCCTACTCTGTCCTGTGGGATTCCCATTGACTCGATGGCGATAAGATTTGCCCTCAGGGTTTAGGGTATTGTGGGTCTCAGGCCCCGCTGTTCTCTTCCCTGGGGAGGGCCCCCAGAGCAGGTCCTCCCACCACCTCCTCTTCTCTCCCCCAAAAGAAACCCAGCCCTGCCCCTCTGGGCCTCTCTTGCTAGGTGCAGTACCTGAAGAACAGGCAGCTGGCAGGCGCCATGGTGTGGACGCTGGACTTGGATGACTTCCGGGGCTCTTTCTGTGGCAAGAACCAGCGCTTCCCTCTCATAGGCACCATCAAGGACGAGTTGATGGCCTCTTAGATTCCCCAGGGGGCCCCTTCTGCTGCCCCTCCCCCTGCACACACTAGGGCCAGTTACCCCACTCCCCATGACTGCAGCTGGCTAAGAGCCTGGCTCCATCCTGTTGAGACCCGAGCTGAGCCTCAGTTTCCCTCCACGGAGCCTGTGCCAGCCTGTGCCGAAGCCCACAGCTCTGAGATTTGAGCTCATTCGAAAAACCAAGAGGCAGAGCTGGACGAGCAGGGCAGAGACAGACACAGGATTAGGACAGCGCGCCCATGAATGCCAAGGCTCACTGAGCCCCAGGCCCCGCACAGGGGGTTTCTTCAACTCCCTTATCCGCTGCCCCCTGCCTAAAAGATAGGGTGTGTAGCTGTAACTCTGCCTCCAGGAGCCAGACTGCTCACAGGAAGCCATGCCTACTAATTATACTCTATGCAAAGCCTTACTTAAAACCTTCCCCCAGCAACATAATCGTGGCGACCGCTCCACTTCCCCTCCCTAAACCCACAGCTGCTCAATAAAGTGCGAACACTTAAAACCAGAGTGACACCTGCTTCAGTCCATCTCAGTGGCCTCACTTGCTCGCCCGCTCGCTGGGCACACCGGGCTCACCTCTCCCACTTTTCAGGGTTCTCCTCTCTGAGGCCGGGCAGCCTGAGCTTGCCGAGGGTGATGCCGCCACGTCCCAATGGGAGGCCAGCCCCCACAGTCTCATCTGCTGTGGCCTTCCCAATCCTGAAGTCACTGTCACCAGCTTTCTTATAATGCAGTTTCCTGTGGAAAGAGACCATCTGCTTCTGAAGTTCAGCAGGTGCTGGGAAGAAAGCCCCTTAACCTGTTCTGTGCCCCGGAAAGGAGCCCCCGCAGTGCCGTGGTCACGCACTGGGCTGCTAACCACGAGGTCAGCAGTTGAAATCCACCAGCTGCCCCAAGGGAGACTTTCTACCCCCGGAAAGAGCTACAGTCTCAGAAACCAGCAGGGACAGGTCGACCCTGTCCTATAGGGTCCCTGAGTCCAAATGGACTCTGTGGTGAGTGTTTTGGGTGTGGGTTTGGTGAGTGTCCCCAGAAACCGATAGGAGCCAGCCACGGGCCCAGGACAGAGAGCCCTGAACCCTAGACGGTGATCTCAGGCACCCTCTTCCCTCTCTGCAGGGCCTTCCCACCACTGCTTTAGGCTCCCAGCGGCCCTACAGGACAGAGAAGGGCCCAAGGGATTCCAAGGTTGTACATCCTCGCAGAAGCAGACTGCCTCATCTTTCCCCTGTGGACCAACTGGTGGGTTTGAACCACCAACCAATCAATTAAAATTCAGCCAAGCATTGTAACCCCCATGCCGCCAGGGGTATCCTGAGATGCCCCCAGTGCCAGGAGTCCCTGAGTGGTGCATATGGTTAAGGGTTCAACTCCTGGTTGAAAGGTTGGCAGTTCAAACCCAGACAGGGGGCCTCAGAGGACAGGCATGGCCATCTTCTTCCCAAAGGCCAAGCCTTGAGAGACCTGCGGGGCACAGTTCCACCCTGACACAGATGGGCTTGCCACGAGGCAAAAGCCACTTGGGGGCAGCTAACCATGACTTGGTGCTGAGAAGTGCTCGACCTCACTGTTGCTGGGCTGAAATTAGCCAAGGGTCCCAGCACGGTCACCCGGATGAACACAGAACAGGGGACATCCGCAGGCCCCGCAGAAGACAAGGCACCTCTGCTCAGGTGACCTCAGCCATGAATGGCTGGGCTGGGCTGGGCTGAGCCGGAAGACCAGTGCGTTTCCCAGCCTTGGTGGTGGGAGAGTGTCTCCAGCTTCCTGGAGATTCCCAGACCTGCCATGATCCATAGCAGAGCCCAGATGCCCACTCCCAAACCTAAGAGAAGCCACCACGGCCTCCGAGACTTGGGCTCCTGAAGTTGGCTCGATGGCTCAGGACGCTGATTTGAGGTGTTGGTGAGGTGGCTGTCCTGAAATCTGAACCAGCTGGAGTTGGGCAGAGGCAACTGATCCCAAGGTCACCATCCTGCTGAGGGCAAAGCAAGTGAGAACCTGGCCAGGGCTCAGCAGGAGCTGGGCATGTCACCGCTGGGCAGTAGGGTCAAGCATTCCTAATCCCTGGCCGCTGCCCACGCCACCTCATAAGGGGCTTTGCAAGCTCTGGGGCTGGGAGTCCTCTTGAGCAGCCCCCTCTCCGTGGGCCCCCCCACCCCCAGCACCCTGGCCCTAGCTTGGGACAGGCTCCTCAGGACTGACTCAGGGTCCTACGGGGTTAGTCACATTCGCTTATAGCTGCAGAGTCAGAGGCCAGGGATGGGGATCAGATCTCCAGGGCCCTCCCCCTGCCCGGCAGGACCCTGAGTCACCGGGTAGAAGGCATGGACACCCAGGCGGGACCGGGCCCAGCAGCTCCCCAGCCCTACTACCCAGCTCTCAGCAAGAAGTGGGGTGGCTGGACTCCTGAGCCATCTCCCCAGAGCTGAGACCCTCCCCTAGACCCCCTGGTCCTTCAGTGTTTGCTTGTTCATCGTAACAGTGGGGCGGATCGTGTGCTATGGAGCCGGGCAGGGGTCCCTGGTGGCATAGTAGGTTATGAGTTGGTCAGCAGTTCCACAAGGTCAGCAGTTTGACCTTGTGGGATCAAGACGAGAGGCTTTCTACTCCCATCAAGATTTACCGCCTCAGAAACCCACCGGGGTCATTCTCTGTTTTATAGGGTCACTGTGAGTCAAAAGGGCACGTTGGCAGTAAAGAGGAGCCTGTGGGGTGCAAATGGCTTATACAACTGCTCAACTAAAGGTTGGCAGTTCAAACCCATCCAATGGAAGAAGGGCAGGGCACACTGCTTCCACAGAGATTACAGCCAGGAAAACCGTACTCAGTAACAGGGGTGCCGGGAGTCAGGGGCCAACCACAGCAAGGCTTCACGCATGCTAGCAGGTCTGTAAAATGCATGTCTCATGTGAAGAATTGTAAGTAAAACAACCTGTGTCACCACCACCGCCGCCACTGCCACCGCCCTCCCGGGACAGGAAATGGGGCCACAATAGCACCTGGGACCCACACAGTCACACACATCACCGCCCACCCTCCCAGAGGAGGCCCCAGCCTGGCTTCCGAGATCGCCCGGTCTGGTCGGAGCTACCACACCTCGCAGGAGCGCTGACACCTGTGCGAGTGCGTGTGCCTGGCGTTTGCACGTTTGTGTCTTACACTCTAACCGCTGAAACACTCCACGTTGTTACCCGCCTGCTGTTGGGACGTGGTGGGTCAGAAGCGAGACAGCTGCTGGGGCTCACATGCGGGTTTCTGTGTGTGCGCGTCCAGGATGGGGACTGCTGG